CGGGCGGGGGGCCTCGGGCCTGGGGTGGGGGCCGCCCGGGCCCGACAGCCGCCCAGGGCCTCCTGGGGCTTGGGGTGCCCTGGGGCCTCCTGGGGGTCCCTGGGAGAGGTCTGGGGGTGCCCCTGGGTCTGGGGATGTCGGGGGGAGGTCCCTGTGTCTGGCAGGGCCTGGGGGTGTCTGGGAGTGTCCCTGGGGGTGCCCCGGGTCTGGGGGTGCCAGGGGGGTGCCCCTGGGTCTCCGGGGATGTCTAGGGGTGTCCCTGTGGGGGGGTTAGGGGTGCCCCTGGGTCTGGGGGTGCCAGGGGGGTGCCCCTGGCTCTCCGGGGATGTCTAGGGGTGTCCCTGTGGGGGGCATCTCAGGGGTGCCCCTGGGTCTGGGGGTGCCCCTGGCTCTCTGGGGATGTCTAGGGGTGTCACAGTCGGGGGGGTCAGGGGTGCCTCTGGGTCTGGGGTTGCCAGGGGGTGCCCTTGGGCCTCATCTGCATCTCCTGGATCTTGTCTCGTTGCTCTTCCATGCGACACTCCTGCGCGTCTCTCGTCCGGGTGGCGCGAGGCACCTGTCGCAGGGGGTGGGGGGGCGGCGAGGCAGCTCCCGCCCGTCGTGGCCTGAGCGTCTCCATCGCAGCGCCGAGCCGAGCCGAGCCGGCATCTCTTACCAGGCGCCCACGTGCCGAGCTCGGCCCTCTGCTCGGCCCTGCCCCGCACTTGCTGTGGCGCCGGGAGCGCGTCCTCCTCGTTTTCCCTGGACGGTTCACGAGTGTTGTTTCCTGGCACTTTTGCCAGGGGTCGGCTTCACCCTGCTCTTACCTCTGTACTTGAGGTTTACTGGTATATAAATATTTTGGTTAGAGATACGGAGTTAGTTGCATGACTAAAAGAACAATCCTTGTTCGGGTGTCGTATACGATTAAGATTATGTAGTATTACGATTATGATATTGTTCAAAGCAGCACAACTTTCTGCTATAGTCAGGGTGCTAGGAAGGCTGCTAGCTTATGGGTAAATCGGATGGAAGAGACCTTCAGTCTCGGGGTGAATTGGAGAAGCGGTTCGTCGCGGTTATGGGGTCCTTGTTCTGTCCTCCGAGTAATGAAAGACTGGGAGCAAGGTATTACGGTCAGTTGGTTGAAACAGTCCTTTTTATTTTTCTTCCCTTATTTCTCCAAGTATTCTTGAATTAAAAATAAGCAGTAATTTATCTGTCGCTCCATAAATATGTTTAAAGAGGATAAATAATATATGCTAAACTTTTAAATAGAGAAAGAGCATGACTACCGGGTGCACTCGCTGCAGTTGAAATTTAATAAGATGAGTAATATCCAGCTACAACGGGAATCTACAACATTGCAATACATAGGCTCCTGTCCGTGTCTTTAGTGTAGCAGGCAGGACAAGGTGGCATCTTTATAGACTAACTTGGAGCTTTCTTCATCGCATGGTATGAATGGACTTGCAGAGAACAGTGGTACTAAATTGAATGGAATAAAGTAATTTAAATACAAAGGGTTATTGGGAAAGGAGGAGGAAGGTGGGAGCACTGCTGAGAAAGGTGAAGGGTAGTTGAAGAGAGCAAAAGGGATAAATAAAGCAGTTAATGCACTGAGGGATTTAAGGGGTATAAAAGCTAGTCTAGGCAATAGGGTAAGAATCACGAGTCTGTGTTGAGACCATATGTAACACAGTCCAGTCTGGGGAAGATTTCTTGTTTCTCAATTTTTATTCATGTTGGTTTTTAAAGTTTTGCTGTTTCGGAGCAGCTGCTCTGAGGTCAGCGATGGCACGTCCCGGGAGGTTGAAGTATTCGGGCCTGGGCCTGTGTCCAGTCCATCCAGTGCAGACAGCAGGCGGGCACTTCAAGCAGGTGATGGCATATACGGCTTGGGTAGAGCAGATTGTCTCTGTCTCAGTGTAGATTGCTTCGTGTTCCCAACTCAGGCCAAGCAGACAGGAGTGACTCTGCTTAATACTTTAGAGGAGACTAAAGGAAATTTCAATCCCTATTAAATAGGGGTACACCAATAAAGATTTTTTTTGGCTGATACTGATGGCCAATTACTAACTAGTCATAACAGCTGATACCGATTCGATAGCTGATACGCATCCCACCAGGTTGGACAGCAGTGTCTGCCCAGCAAGTCCGTGGGGGGAAGGTGTGTGTGGGGCGGGGGGCAGATTGAGGCCCCCGTGGTGAGGGAGGGAGTGGGGCAGGGGCAGACGCTGCCCAGATACAGGACGGAGCCCCGGGGGGCAGCTTCTGCCACTGTGTGCAACCCCGGGGGAGGCATGGGGGGCATGTGCTCCCTGGGTTTGTGCTTGGGGCAAGGCTGGGCTGCGCATTTGGGGCCAGGGGGCTGTGCCAGCCTCTTCCCAGTGGTGGGGCTGGGCTGCTGCAGAGCTCAGGGTAGGTGGAGGTGGCAGTGCTAGGAGGGGGGTCATGGGGTAGGCTACAGCCACCCCAGAATTTACTGTAGCCCCCCTCCCAGCTCCTCTGCTGCCTGCCCTGAGCACAGCCCCGGCCCAGCCCCCCTGCTGGGAAAAGGCTGGCCTCATCCTGCGCCCAAATCCAGGGGGCATGTGCCCCCCATGCCTTCCCCAGGGGTGCGCGCAACCGTGGGAGCTGTCCTGCCACCTGCCTCTCCCCCACGCTCCCTGGACCAGCTGTCCACAGCTCTGTCCTGCGCCCAGCTCTGCCCTGGCTGGGCAGCCCCAACCCTACTGCCTCCCTTGCTGTGGGGGCCTTGATATGCCTTCCCCTTCACAGACTTATCGGCCAGATGCTGCTCTCCAACCTGCTGGGATGCATGCTTGGCTGCGTGCATGCACGCCCATTTATCGGTGACATCATCGGCCAATAAAAGCCGATTGCCGATAATGTCAATTTTCATTTTATCAGTGCTGCTACGATATGGACTGATGTATCGGTTCAGCTCTACTATTAAATCTTGGGGTGTATTGGTTTAATTCGTGTCTTTGGATGCTTTCAGGCAAAACTTTGGAGGAATATTTTGGGTCCTGCTTTGAACATGTACCTGGGTGGATGGAGTTCATCACGCCGCCCTCTGTGTTAGAGTATCTTAAGAAGGAGCAAGCCTTCTTAAGAAGGAGCAAACCACTAGATGGTGGTTTGTTTGCTAGATTTCATCTCAAATGTGTTAATATTTGCACCTAGAAAGGAATGGGGAAAAAAAAGATGATGTTTCATGGATCCAAAATGTTCTGAGATAAGCAGATCATTAATTCAGCCAAGTTTGTTGATTCTCTGACTAATAACAAGCAGTGGTATTAGCAGTGGGTGGCGCACAGTTTTAGAAATTTTGATTATTTTGACAACTGAAAGTAGGAGCAGAAGTTTCCTGTTTTAGTTGAAGACTTTTGAAACAGCTAATAGGCAATAATGTTTCTTCCATGCATTTTGATACTGGATATCATTTTAACTTTGGAACTGTGTGATTTTCATGTATTTGGAGATAATCTTGTTTTCCTCCACCCTCATAGTTTCAAGGTTATAATTCCAGTATCTTCTAAAATGTTTTTGCTGATCCTAGCATTGCTATGTGAGCTGTCCTCCTCAGGCCTCCTGTATCTTGTGCTTACTAAGACTGCATATTCTAGGTCCAACTAGTAACAGATGTTTTCCTTCAAGGGGCCGAGGGTACAGACAGCTTTTAAAGTGTTCTTTGTTGTGGGGCAGTCAAATGTTCCCTACTGCTTGAAATGAAAGTTGTAAGGAGCCATTTTAATTATTTTGAATATTAATCAGATTATCTTCAGGATGCAGAAATCTACTGAACATTCAGTCCTGCATTTACTAAATACCTAGGGCTAGATTCGATGCCATCGAGATGCCGTTTTCTTAGTCCTCAAATCAGCAGGAGCAACCACTACAATCTGTTTTCCTTCTTAGTAGCCTATGGTCCCAGAGAACTGCAGAAGTCCAGGAAATGCGTGTGAAAAGAGGTCATATCTTTGAAACGCTCACTAAAGAAATCTGCTTCTGGTGCTGGACAAGGCAAGTGCCTTCTGCAAGTACCATCTGTGCCTCAAGTCCTTTTGGCAGAAACACGTGGGAGGCCATTCTTGGCCTCAGGCCTGGGACTCTTTTTTTCCTTGCAGCCCGTCAGAGCCTGAGCATCCTCCAGAAAAACTAAGACTTTTTATTCGGGCAGGCTTTTAGTTAAGTTTTGGGGCATTTGTTGTCCATACATACTGTTTTA